CCACCGCCTTACCCAACTCCCCAATCCAGCCTGCAAATCTCCCAGCCACCACTAGGTGACAGTAAAGAGAGAGGGGAAAGGGAAACTCAGCACTGTCTGCTGCTCATCCAGAGGTTCGCAGCCCAGATCTGGTAGCCCCAAGCTTTGGCATGACGTCTGCCTAGCCCTCTTGCGCTTTGGGCATTTCCCAGTCCCGAGGACAAAACTCTGTCCTGTGGTGGCCCGCTGGATGGGTGGTGGCCGTGTTTTTGTCCCTCCTCCCCAATGACTGTTAATCACAAGGAACTTGCCAAGGAGCGTGTCATCCTCTCGGTTTCAGGTTTCACCGTGGGGAGGAAGCAACAGGCCCATAAAAGTGAGTTTTGATGAGGGCATGGCTCCTGGGATGGAGAAGCAGAGATGAGGTCTGCTTTACCTGGATCTATGATACTGGGCGGGGCAGGAATACCTGACCATATTTGGGCTTCACTACAGCCACACTTCAGCGCATCATGGAGAGGCGGGGGAAGGGGGGGCTTTGCACCGGGAGAGAAATTGAAAGCCGGTTCCAGTTGTGGAGGATGACCTGGCTGTCTCTCTCTCTCTCTCTCTCGCACACTCACACTTTCTCCTGCCACTGGCCTTCAGGTCGCACGGGAAGCAGACAACACCTCTACGATTGGAAATGCTCCAGGGGAATCCATAAAGGACAGGAAGCGCACACCAAGTGACAAGGAACACACAGAGGCCGTCTCCCGCAGTCCTGAACTCTACTGGAGGAACCCATGCGCGAGAGCCACTCTGAGCACGTGCAGAGTGGCAACGAACCCACCCAGGCCCCATAAAGGAGACCAACGGTGCATGCCCAGAGGGGTCATCACCACCATTTCCCCCAACCTGCTGCCTCACAGACTTGTTGGACTTCCACTGCCATAGCCCCAGAGCCCCCCTTAGCCCCAGAGATGGCTGCAGAAAATGGGCACTGAAGTCCAACATCTATCTATCTATCTATCTATCTATCTATCTATCTATC